CTGAGGAATTGAACCCAGGGCCTCATGCATGCAAGGCAAGCGCTCTACCACTGAGCCACCTTCCCAGCCCTGTTCTTGAGCTTCTTTTGCTCAAGGCTAGCACTCTACCACTTGAGCCACAGGGCCACTTCGGCCTTTTTTGTTTATATGGTACTGAGGAATTGAACCCAGGGCTTCATACATGTTAGGCAAGCACTCTACCACTAAGCCACATTCCCAGCCCTGAGTACTGAGGTTTGAACTCAGAACTTGGGTACTATCTCTTAGCTTTTTGTTTTTTTGCCCAAGGCTGGCTCTCTACTATTAGAACCACAGTTTCATTTCCTATTTTGTTTCGGTTTTATTTGCTAGTCCTGGGGCTTGAACTCAGGGCCTAGGCATTGTCCCTGAGCTTCTTTTGCTCAAGGTTAGCACTCTACCACTTGAGCCACAGCGTCATTTACCGCTTTTTTTTTTTTTTTTTTGCTTGTCATGGGGCTGGAACTCGCTTCGGCATTGTCCCAGCGCTCTTCAGATCAAGGTGAGCGCTCCACCCCGTCACTTCCAGTTTTCTAGTGGTTTATTGGAGATAAGAGTCTCATGGGCCTTCCTGCCTCAGATAGCTTTAATCCGTGATCCTCAGATCTCAGCCTCCTGAGTACCTAGGATTACAGGCGTGAGCCATTGGCACCTGGCTACTTCCCACTTTTTCTGTGTATGTGGTACTGAGGAATTGAACCCAGGGCTTCAAGCAAGCTAGGCAAGCACTCTACCACCAAGCCACATCCCCAGGTCTCTCCCCTTTTAATGGTTAATTGGTGATAAGAGTCTCATGGACTTTCCTAGACAATAGTGGTTTCAAACCTTGATCCTTAGATCTCAGAGGCTAGGATTATAGAGGTGAGCCATATGGTCCTGATTGTCCTGTCTTACCTTTGTGTTGATATATTTTCTGTCTAATGTTCTGCTATCGCCTAAATACCTAGAGCAGTGCCTGGCTCATTTCAGGGGCTTCTTACATACATATATCCATATGGCATCTTTCCTAGGACCTACCCAGCATGCTGTGAGCTACTTGAGGGCAGGGTGCCATTGGACTAGCTTCCTTTCTGGACCTTAGTCTGAAGCTTAGAGGGTGAGCATTCCAGATCCTGTGCTGATTGGAGAAAGTATGGGCAAAGGGCCTGAGATCAAGAGGAGGAAGCGGAAGAGGAAGAAGAGGCTACATGTGAGGGTTTGAGAAGTGACACAGAAAGGACAGGTCAGGTCTAAGTGAGATTTGGCTGAGAGGAGGGGAGCTGGTGTGACCAGAAGCCAGCTCTTCTGGCTGGTTTAGGAAAGGGTTTTACAACAGGAGGAAGACCCCAAAAGCCAAAGGATACGCTGGGGCCATTGGTGGCTATTCAGGAGACTTGGGATCTAAGGATCTCAGGATCGTGGTTCCAAGCCAACTGAGGCAAATAAATCTTCAACTAACCAACAAAAAGCCCTTAGTGGAAGTATGTCCCTTATGGGACAATGATGATATATATTCATTAAAATGTTATGTGGTACATGGCTATCTGAACATATTTACCTATGATAAAGTTTTGTTGTTGTTTTGAAGTATTTAATTTTTTTTTGTTGTTGTTGGTCATGATGCTTGAACTCTGGGCCTGCATGCTGTCTCTCACCTCTTCGGCTCAAGGCTAGCAGTCTACCACTTGAGCCACAGTGTTACTTCTGGTTTTCTAAGTGGTTTATTGGAGATGAGAGTCTCATGGACTTTCCTGCCCGAGTTGGCTTTGAACCTTGATCCTTAGCTCTCTACCTCCTGAGTAGCTAGGATTATAGTCATGAGCCACCAGGGTCCAGCTGTATTTTAATTTTTTATTTTTGTCAGTCCTGGGGCTGAAACTGGCTCTGTCCTGAGCTTCTTTTGCTCAAGGCTAGCACTCTACCATTTGTACCATTTCTGGCCTTTTCTGTTTATGTTGTACTGAGGAATCAAACCTAGGGCTTCATGCATGGTAGGCAAGCATTCTACCTCTAAGCCACATTCCCATCCTCTTGTTTTTTTTTTTATTTTTATGCCAGTCCCGAGGCTTGAACTCAGGGCATGGGCATTGTCCCTGAGCTTCATTTGCTCAAGGCTAGCGCTCAACCACTTGAGCCACAGTGCCACTTTCTGCCTTTTTTTTTATGTGGTACTGAGGAATTGAACTCAGGGCTTCATGCATGCTAGGCAAGCACTATCACTGATCCACACTCCCAGCCCCACTTTTTTTTTTTTGGTTGTGGGGCTTGAACTCTGGGCCTGGGCACTATCCCTGAGCCTGAGCTCTTCAGCTCAAGGCTAGTGTTCTACCACTTGAGTCACATAGTAACTTCCAGTTTTCTGGTGGTTAATTGGAGATGAGTCTCATGGATTTTCCTGCCCAGGCTGGCTTTGAACCGTTATCCTCAGATCTCAGCTTCCAGAGTAGCTAGGATGACAGGCATAATCCACCAGCGCCAGACTAATGAGTAAATTTTTTCTTCTTCCCTTGCTCTCTCACAGTTACTTATTCATTTACTTGTTTTGTTGGTCATGGGGCTGGAACTCAAGGACTAGGGCGCTGTCCCTGAGCTCTATTCACTCAAGGCGCTCTACCACTTTTTTTTTTTTTTGGGGTCGGGTCATGGGGCCTGAACTCTGGGCCTGGGCTCTGTCCCTCAGCCCTTCAGCTCAAGGCTAGCGCTCTACCACTTGAGCCACCGCACCACTTCCGGCTTTTTTCTTTTTTCTTATGTGGTGCTGAGGAATCAAACCCAGGGCCTCTGGCATGCAAGGCATGCGCTCTACCACTGAGCCACCTTCCCAGCCCCCGCTCTACCACTTTAAGTAACAGCCACTTCCAGTTTTTCTGAGTCTCCGGAATGGGCTGGGAAGGTGGCTCAGTGGTAAACTGCTCGCCTTGCATGCATGAAACCCTGTGTTCCATTCCTTAGCACCACATAAGCAGTAAAAGCCGGAAGTGGCGCTGTGGCTCAAGTGGTAAAGTGCTAGCCTTGAGCTGAAGGGCTGAGGGACAGTGCCCAGGCCGAGTTCAGGCCCCACGACCCACAAAAAAAAAAAAAAAAAAGAAAAAAAAAAGTGAGCACTTTATTTTCCAAGGTAGTAAGACCAGCCTGGCAGGAGTGGGGAGGGTTTAGAGGACGGAGTCTCAGAAACTTGTCTGCCCCAGCAGGCAGTGTATGGCGATCCTTATATTTCAGCCTCCTGACTTGCTAGGAATACAGGTTTTGAGCCATGGGTGCCTGGCCAGTTATTCAATTATTTTATGAAAATGAAAGTTACAGTGCGCCTACTATGTGCCATCTATTGTAGTGACTACCAGATTACATACTGCATAAAGGCTGGGTTTCACGTATGCGATTTACCTGAGTCCAAGTACACTTCTCCAGCACTGTGCGGGCACACAGTAGGTGCTTCTCCCTTACTGGACGCCCCACCCCGCCAGCCCCTCCCCCTGTCTGCCTGTCCAGGAAGTGCGGGGGCTTAGCCGCCGGGTCCGCCGCGATGCATTCTGGGAAAGCAGCAGCACCAGATTCAAGATGGCGGCCAGCAGGAGGCTGATGAAGGTAAAAGCCATTCTCCGGCGCCGGACAGGCGGGGGGCGCCGTTCCTCTCCGGGAGTCCTCACGGCTGGCTGGGGCTTCTCCAAACGCCGCCATCCGGTTTCCTTTTCTGTGTGGCCCCGCCATGTCGCCAGGCAGCGTGCGTGTTCGGGCAACTAACGGGGCCGCCTAGGCCTCAACCTGGGCGGACGCGCCAGGCCTCGCTGGGAACGGCCGCTGGTCCCTTCCCCCCAGCCCGGGGCATCCGCACCGCGCTCTTCCCACAACCCAGCCGTGTGTCCTCCGTCGCGGGGACCGCGGTCTGGGCTAGGGACGCCGTTGATGTGGGGTTCGGCCGGGAGGTCCCTAACCGGGCACCAGCGAGGAAGGCCCGAGCGCCGGAGCCCCGGCCGTGAGCCCGCGCCGCGGAGACGCCCCGCCCTGGGCCACGGCCGTCGGACTGGGAACCCCGCTCGGCCGACCCGCAACCCGTGCAGCGGGAGACTTGGGAGGCCGGAGCTGGGGAAGTAAGGAGGAGGAAGGGTGGCCAAAGTTAGGTCAGTTTGTTGGTGGGTTGTTTGAAATGGTGTTGGTTTCTAGCGAACTGTCGCTTTGACTGTAGTCACACAGCGGGCAAGTTGTAACTCCAGGAAGGCGTGGGATTGGCCTCAAATCGTGACTTGGTTCTCCTTCTTGGTCTCCTTCCTTATCCACCTCTTAGTCATTCCTTTCCCTGATGAAGCAAAGTGACATTTTTTTGGGGTGTGGGGTGTGGGTGGGGGTGGAGATTCAGTTTCTGTTGTTCGTATCAAAACAAGCCAAAGTTTATAAAAATAACTTTGTAAATGTACTTTGGATCTCGAATACAGCGGGGTGCCTTTTTGCTAATTGGCTCCTTTGATGAGGAACACAGGTGCAAACTTGGTTTAGTTCTGGATTTGCCGACGTCCTGGGGAGTTGTCTCGAGGACGTCGAGTTGGCTGCTCGTTAGTGCCGCCGAGCTGCCACTGGGCCGAAAATACAAAAGGCCCATGAGTTGGTTCTGGAGGACACCTGAAGGGCTGGGGTTCCTACTGTAACCTAAAAAGAGCTGTTCTTGGTAGAAATAGACATTGAGCTAGTCACAGCCTTGTAGGCCTTCCTTCCTTGGGAACATTTCCTTCCTTTTGTTCACTAAGGGATAGAGCAGACATTGAACTTTTTAAAGCCAGAGTAGAAGTGAGCACAAAAGAACCATTAGTAGACCCTAGACTTCTCATCTTGGTGCCAGTGACAGCACCATTTACTTACTTGAGAGAACTGCTAATGACTTTTCTGTTCTACTCCCCAAATGCTGCCCTCCATCAATCCTGTGGATTTGACTTTAGGAAGATTTTTGTACTTGCATTCTTTGCTTTCTAATCTTTAACAGAAATTTTTTGAATCCACTTACCCCTCCTCACTTGCAAAACACTTTCCAGCTCCCCTTTGTGGACACCAGAATTCTTTTTCTAAAGCATACATTTAATTGTTTTACTTCTGTACATTTTTTTGTTCTGTTTTTTTTGTTTTGTTTTTGGGTTGATCATAGGGCTTGAAATCAGGGCATGGGTGCTCCCATCCCTCAGCTTTTTTGCTCAAGTGCTCTACCACTTTGAGCTACTGCTCCACTTCGATTTTCTGATGGTTTATTGGAGATGAGTCTCAGAGACTTTCCTGCCCAGGATGGCTTTGAACCGCAATCCTCAGATCTCAGCCTCCTGAGTAGCTAGGATTACAGGTGTGAGCCATCACTAGCGCCTGGCTACTTCTGTGGTTTTATTTTATTTATTTATTTATTTTTGTCGGTCGTGGTGCTTGAACTCTGGGCCTGGGCGCTGTCCCTCAGCTCTTCAGCTCAAGGCAAGCGCTCTGTCACTTGAGCTACAGCGCTACTTCCGGTTTTCTGGTGGTTTATTGGAGATAGGAGTCTCACGGTCTCTCCTGCCCAGGCTGGCTTTGAACTGGGGTCCTCAGATCTCAGCCTCCTGAGAAGCTAGGATTACAGGTGTGAGCCACCAGCGCCCAACTTCTGTGGTTTTATTATTTTATTATTTATTTATTTATTCTGTTGGTTGTGGGGCTTGAACTCTGGACCTGGGCGCTGTCCCTCAGCTCAAGGCCAGCACTCTATCACTTTGAGCCACAAACTACTTCTGGTTTTCTGTTGGTTAATTGGAGATAAGAGTCTCATGGACTTTCCTGCCCTGGCTGGCTTTGAACCATTATCCTCAGATCTCAGCCTCCTAAATAGCTAGAATTAGGGGCGTGAGCCACTGGTGCCCAGCTGTGGTTTTATTCTTTTCAGTAATTAATTCTAACTGCTGTGTGTCATGGAAGACCTTTCTTAGACTGAATAGCATTCTGTACAGCTTCACATCCCTTCCTTTAGATTCTCACTATTCTTAACATCTAATTGCAGCTTTTACCATTTTTCCATCTTTTTTTTTTTTTTTGGGGGGTCCTGTCGTGGGGCTTGAACTCTGGGCCCCGGTACTGTCCCTCAGCTCTTCTGTTCAAGGCTGGCGCTCTACCACTTGAGCCACAACACCACTTCTGGTTTTCTGGTGGTTAATTGGAGATGAGAGTCTCGTGGACTTTCCTGCCTAAGCTGGCTTTGAGCCTTGTTCCTTAGATCTCAGCCTCCTGAGTAACTAGGATTGGAGGTGTGAGCCACCAGTGACCGACCAGCACTTAACATTTTAAATTATGTATTTCCAGAAAATTTGAGCGGAGGGGAGAAAAAGTTAACGTTAACTACTGAGTATTTTTATTATTATTAAATGAAAGATTTACGTGAGTTTTTGTTTACTCAGTGTATTTTTTTTTTTTTTTTTTGGGTCCGGTCGTGGGGCCTGAACTCTGGGCCTGGGTGCTGTCCCTCAGCTCTTCAGCTCAAGACTAGCTCTCTACCACTTGAGCCACAGCGCCACTTCGGGCTTTTTTCATTTTGCTTATGTGGTGCTGAGGAATCGAACCCAGGGCCTCAGGCATGCAAGGCAAGCGCTTTAACCACTGAGCCATCTTCCCAGCCCTCTGAGCTGCTTTTGCTTAAAGCTAGCACTCTACTACTTGAGCCACAGTGCCACTTACAGCTTTTTTGTATGTGGTACTAAGGAATCGAACTTAGGGCTTCATGCATACTAGGCAAGCCACATTCCTAGCCAAGAAAAGGAATTTTCATTGGTTGAAAATTGGGAGTAAAGGGCTGGGAAGGTGGCTCAGTGGTAGAGCACTTGCCTTGCATGCCTAAGGCCCTGGGTTTGATTCCTCAGCACCACATAAGCAAAAAGAAAAAAGCCGGAAGTGGCACTGTGGTTCAAGTGGTAAAGTGCTAGCCTTGAGCTGAAGAGCTGAGGAACAGCGCCCAGGCCCAGAGTTCAGACCCCACGACCGGACCCCCCCCCAAAAAAAAGAATTGAGAGTAAAGGGCTGGGAAGGTGGCTTAGTGGTACAGGGCTTGCCTTGCATGCATGAGGCCCTGGGTTTGATTCCTCAGCACCACATATGCAGAAAAAAAAAGCCAGAAGTGGCGCTGTGGCTCAAGTGGTAGAGCCCTAGTCTTGAGGTGAAGAGCTGAGGGACAGTGCTCAGGCCCAGAGTTCAGGCCCACCACTGGACCCCAAAAAGAAAAGAAAAGAAAAGAAAAGAAAAATTCAGAGTACAATGGTGCCATAGGCAGAACAAACAGATATATGTCAAATAATCAAATTAATTACATCTTAACAGATTTCCTCAAAAAGTCTTTTCCAAAGGATATTTATTTGGTAGGAAAAGTTTCTCTGTAACAATGTAGGTAATATACAATATTAAAAGTGCTTTGTTCTTACCAGATTGAGAAGTTATTTTAGATAAAGTAACCTAAGATAAAGTTTTTTGTTGTTGTTGTTTGGCTTGAACTCTGGGCCTGGGCACTGTTCCTCAACTCTTCAGCTCAAGGTGAGCCCCCTACCACTAGCCACAGTGCCACTTCCCGTTTTCTGGTGGTTTATTGGAGATAAGACTCTCTCAGACTTTCCTGTCTGGGCTGGCTTTGAGCTGAGATCCTCAGATCTCAACCTCCTGAGTAGCTAGGATTACAGGCGTGAGCCACAGGTGCCCGGCTTAACATAAAGTTTTTTTTTTAATTCTAAAGCATTAGGGTAAAAGATTAACTTATTTCATACCAGTTTTTATGAATTACAATGTTAATAAAAAATTAACTACATTTTATATGCAAGCAGCTAATTCAGCATTGTTGACAACACCACATAGATTGTAGCCATTGCTTCAGTGGTCAGCAAAATAGCTACAAAACCAAAAGTAAAGCCTCTGTGTGTGGCTTAGGGAAACTGATAACTAACTGATCAGTTTTTAGTAGCCTAACACTACACACATCTCCCTTGAGGGACCTCCCATTGAGTTGCTTCCCTGAAGGGCTTTTCTTAGAGGGGACATTTGTGGATTTAGAGAGAGTAAGATAACATTTCATTAGTTATTAGGGTATAGTTATTGAGAAAAAGAATTGAGCATCATAATGCTATTTAAATGTTCACTCAGATATGCTCATTTGTGTTCTTGTCTCAGTTCATAAACACATGAAGGAATAGAATAGTTTTTTGGAATTTTTATTTATTTTTTATTTTGTTTATTTCTGTCGGTCGTGGGGTTTGAACTCTGGGCCTGAACGCTGTCCCTCAGTTCTTCCACTCAAGGCTAGCACTCTACCACTGTGCTCTACAGCAGCACTTCAGGTTTCCTGGTGGTTTATTGGAGATAAAAGTTTCACTATTTTCCTGCCCGGGCTAGCTTTGAACCGTGATCCTCAGATCTCACTCAGCCTCCTGAGTAGCTAGGATTACAGGCGTGAGCTGCTGTCGCCTGGCTTTTTGGAATTTTTTGTACAAAGGGATGGACCAGTTTGCTCTTGAGTCTCTATGGGTGTATGTTCTCCTAGGTTGGGTAATGGAGCACTGACTGTGTCTGGTGGTTGTGTTAGGAGGTAAGGGGAGAGCTGGGAGTTGTGC